AGGGAGCGGGGGGGGGGGGGGGGGGGGGGGGGGGGAGAAAGACAGAGAGGGAGGGGAGAGAGGCAGAGGGAAGAGAGAATGTTGTTTCAATAATTTATTCAACAACCCCCCACCCTACAAAATTTAAATGGAAATCTAATCAGTGCTTTGACTAGAACAGTCCATAACACTGTATTTCTTCTTTTTGAGAAACTGTTTCAGATCATTATCATTAGCTGGTTGGAGGTCTTATTTCTGGTTCAACTCCAACTCTTGGACAGATGGCCTCACATTCTCGACAATCACACTTTTATATGATGCAGACCACATTGAGAGCTGCCCAGGTCCTGAAGCAATAAAGCAAGCCCCAAACCACAACAATTCCAGCACCATGTTTCACAGTTGTTATAAGGTTCATCGTCTGAAATTCTGTCTTCGGTTTTCGGCAACGTCTACTGTTAACAAACAACTCTATATTTAAATGATCGGCCTTCAGGACATTGTTCTAGAAGGCCTAGTCTTTGCCTAAATGTTCAAGGGCAAACTGTAATCTTGCTCTAATGTGCTTTTTGAACAGCATACACTTTTTCTTAACGCAAGTTGAAATGGTGCAATCTCTTTCTGACATGTGCTTTGAGCCCAACTGTTGCAAGAGTTACCTAAACATTCTATGAGGAAATATTGTAGTTCTTGAAGATTTCTTTTAGCATCAAAAATTCAGCTCTTGGCTTCTCAGTCCTGGACAAATTAGCAGTGGTTTGAAATCTATGCACATTGTAAATTGTTTTCATTATGTAATAACCAATTTTAAATCATTTGGTGATCTTTTAAAACCTTTGCCAGGCTCACAGACATCCACAACCTTCTTTCAGAGGGCCTTAGAGAGGTCTATTGATCTTGGTATGGCGACACCATGCATGTCAATATCAAAGACAACATCAGACGCTAGATGTCTGAGGTTTAAATATGTCTGAGGTTTAAATAAGACAGGTTCCGCCTGCATACTCCTTAAGGAGATTTTAATCATTGGTGCTTATTCTGGAACACTGGATTCTAATTTCATGAATTTATAGAGGTGGTAAAAGGTAGGAATGTACTTTCTACTTCCATAAGAGAAATCTGCATTTTTGTAAATATAGATTATGAAAATGAATACACCATATCAATTGTATATGTTGGTTGTTCAGTTATATTACCTTTAACTGTAGGCACTAATTCAATCAAGATTTAATGTTTGTCTTTTCAAATACGTTTTTAAAGTCAAAATTTCCATGAGGTCTACTTACTTTTTCACATGCAGGTACACTATATTACCAAAACTATTGGGACACCCCTCCAAATCATTGGATTCAAGTGTTCCGTGAAATGTCCTTACTACTAGATATTCCACGGTCAACTGTTAGTGGTATTATAACAAAGTGGAAGCAACTGGGAACAGCAGCAACTCGTAAAATGACAGAGCGGGGTCAGCTCATTCTGAAGCACATCGTGCGCAGAAGTCGCCAACTGTCTGCAGAGTCAATAGCTAAAGACCTCTAAACTTCGTGTGGCCTTCAGATTGGCACAACAACAGTGTGTAGAGAGCTTCATGGAATGGGCTTCCATGGCCGAGCAGCTGCATCCAAGCCTTACATCACCAGGTGCAATGCAAAGCATCGGACGCAGTGGTGTAAAGCATGACACCACTGGACTTTAGAGAAGTGGAGACATGTTCTCTGGAGTGACGAATCACGCTTCTCTGTCCAATGGACGTGTTTGGGTTTGGCGGTTGCCAGAATAACGGTACTTGCCTGACTGCATTGTGCCATTGTTTGGTGGAGAGGGGATTATGGTGTGGGGTTGTTTTTCAGGGGTTAGGCTTGGCCCCTTAGTTCCAGTGAAGTGAACTCTTAAGGCATCAGCATACCAAGACATTTTGGACAATTTCATGCTCCAAACCTTGTGGGAACAGTCTGGGGATGGCCCCTTCCTGTTCCAACATGACTGTGCACCAGTGCACAAAGCAAGGTCCATAAAGACATGGATGAGCGAGTTTGGGGTGGAGGAACTTGACTGGCCTGCACAGAGTCCTGACCTTAACCCAATAGAACACCTTTGGGATGAATTAGAGCCTGCAAACCCGGCCTTCTCGTCCAACATCAGTACCTGACCTGGGATGCCATTAGAGCTCATGTGTGTGTAAAGGCAGGCGTCCCAATACCTTTGGTAATATAGTGTATAGATCAATGATTTTGTGATTGATTTCTGCATGTTTATGAGATCACTGCATTGTAAGAGCCATGAAAATATTTATATTACTTATAACCGTTCAGTTATGTCACCCTTTTTCACCGTGTCACTGTGACACTTTAGTTATTCTTTCTAGCAACTTCTGAGCATGCTGAACTTCTCTGATATAACAAGCAAAACAAAACAAAACATGAAATCTACATGACCCTTCGGCAGAAGTGCTGAAATATTTGAGTGTTTAGTTGTGGTATTAAAACCACTTTATTTACATTCCACAGCTGGCCTAAATATCATATAAGCAAGAACCTTTATACGTAGTATATAAATATTTGGAAATAACGAAATACTAGTGCTAATGTTTGCCCCTGTATTAAACATGGCACCAATTGCTCATGGGATGATCCTTCCATAATATGATCTACCGAAAATGCCATTAGCCATAAACAACTATATACTGAAAAGAACTAAAACAGAAATGTACATGATAAACATTTATATTACTATACACACTGAAATTGTACAGCTCTCCATATCACATAAACAAACAGCCAGTTTACATACAGTAGCTCTGCAGTCTGAAAAAGCTGAACTATTAATATAATACACACAGAAAATGACAGTATTGCAACCTTGTATAGTGACGTGTGTATTCATTTAGGGCTTATTCACTGTACATTTCAGTAAATGTCTTTATATAAGATTTCAATATTCTTATGAAAAGCAGCAATCAAAATGCGACAATGAGTCAGTCAGACCTCTATTACTGTGCACAACGCTGGCAGTCCAACATTGTGAACTTGCTAACAGTTTATAAGAGCATAGGACCTAATGACCTAATCAGTTTGATTTTGCTCCTTAATTGTATATTGGCTGGGAACTGGTGTTTGAGCAAGATACATTGCTGAAAGTGACTCAGGAGTTAAATCTTAAAAATGCATTCAAGTGCCCTAACTATAAACAAAAATGTATCATATTTGTGTATCACTCGGCTGTAGATCCTCAAATCATCTCTGAATTGGTGCTGACACTATCCTTCCTTCTGGAGGATGGCTACTTTTGTTCCACATTGTCCCTGTGTGTGTTGTAAAGTAGCTACCGCTCCAAGATCGCTCCTGTGATACCGGTAGACTACCATCTCAATAAAAATTAGTAAACTAAACATAAGTTTGTAGTCCCTCACAGGAGTGAGCTTGAGCTTGGTGGCTACTTTATAACACACACAGGGACCATGGGGAACAAAAGTAGCCACCCTCTAGAAGGAAGGACAGTGTTGGCATGAACCCAGAGATGATTTGAGGATCTTAAGCTAAGTAATATAAAAATAAAAATGCATTTTTAAGATTTAACCCCTGAGTTGAGTGTCACTTTAAGAGACAAGTGAGGTTACTGGCCTGGGTGTGCTGTCTGTTAGGGGTATCTAGATCACAAGATTGGTTGGACAGAAATACAATCTATTTATTTTCAAGTGTTTAGCACTTTGCCTGGAGTTTAGTTTTAAAAGGTAAGTGTGCTTTTAGAGTAAAATGCCCCCCACAGCTAACAAGTCTAATGTCATGCAGACCCATGTTACAATCAAAAATGTGTACAATGATTACTGAAAACATGCACACAAATATTATAAAGTTGATGGTTTTCATAGTCTGCTTTAAAATATTTATTATGCCACGAATGGTATTTGGTTTTAATGTGACACTAAACTCAGGAGTTAAATCTTAAAAATGCATTCAAGCACCTTAAACTAGAATTCAAGTCTTGTTTTTTTGTTTTCTACATATATTTACTGCTACCAAGCAGTAGATATATTCAAAAACATATTTAAAAATTAAAAAACATTGTCAGACAGACAATCACTCATCTCTGTCTGTGCCGCTCGCCCCCAGCTGCAGAACACATCTTCAGAAAAGCAGCGCATGAGGATGATGTTGGCAGGCGCATGCGCAGTCCATATCACCAGCGGGGAGAGGAGGAGAGACACAATAGAATTCAATGCAGACAGCCGTGAGCGTGCATGTCGGACAGACTCCATGGCCACTTTAACTATTAACAAAAACATATCTTATTTGTGTATCACTTAGCTGTAGATCATCAAATCATCTCTGAATTTGTGCTGAAACTGTGCTTCCTTCTGGAGGGTGGCTAGCTGTGTTTCCCATGGTTTCTGTGTGTGTTATAAAGTAGCCCCCGCTCCAAGCTCACTCCTGTGATGGACTACAATCTCAGTGCAAATTAGTAAAAACTAAATGTGAGATTGTAGTCCATCACAGGAGTGAGCTTGAAGTGGTGGCTACTTTACAACATACACAGGGACCATGGGAAACAAATATAGAAGAAAGAAGGAAGGACAGTGTCAGCAGGAACTCACAGGTGATTGGAGGATCTACAGCCAGGTGATAAACAAATAAACTACATTTTTGTTCATAGTTATGGTACTTGAATGCATTTTTAAGATTTAACGCCAGAGTTTAGTGTCACTCTAAAAATTAGCAAATATGATTAAAGAAGTTTTGACATTAAAAATAAGACTGGAGTTTTGTCGAAGAGTATCAGTATAAGGCTGAGAGTAAAAAGGGTACTATAAAATAATATAGAATTTCTCCTTTGTGACAAATGATGTATAGTACTAATGTGCTCTCAACAAGAAAGAAAGTCAGAAAGAACAGGCTGCATGAAATTTGATCCTACATCAGGTCTTTGCCTTTTGTGTAACTCACTTTATTACATAAACTATTGTCATATTTTCACTATTGTCATCGCTCCCTTTCGCATCCGAGTGAACAAGTTACAATCTATATGTGAATGGAAAGAGCGAGATGTGAGCTCAATGAATAAAAGGGGAAGAAAGGTGTAGGAGCAAAAAAGGGCTTTAAAATGTAAAACAGACATCTGTTCAATAGTGGTAATAAAACTAACATTTCTGCTTAGAGCTCAACAAATAACCTTTTACCAAATTTGTTTTTTAAAGTAGGGAGGACTGCCAATATGGCTAACATAAGAATTAGATGATCTACTAAACCAGAGACCCAGAATACATTTTAGCCTTTGCTCACCCTAGTGTAAAATCACTAGGTGCCTGCCAGACTCTATTGTATGTGATACGGCATTGACCTGGTCACATAAGATCTAACAATCACTTGAAAGTGTTTTTATATTTGCCTACAAAAGCTACTTAATCAGCACATCTATTTTTCTAAAACGCTTTTAAAGAAGTACAGGTCGTTCCAAAACTCTGATATTGCATTTGATCAAGACATTCTGTCTAAACCCGTTGTGAAAGGACTCGCGTTAACTACAAAAAATACATCTACTGGGCCGGATAGCTGTACCTGCAGCACAATGAAGAAGGACAGCAGAGTGATTAATGCTTTGAAATTCAGTACTCATTATTCCCATCATTTCCTGCTGACACTTTCAGCAGAGCACAGTGTGGAAGTAGACAGTAACTGGATGTGTGCATGTTTACCTCTGAATGAACCCGTTGTATGTGTGACTGCAGATTGCCTTTTTGAGAAAAGGCGGCTGGACAAAAAGCACAGGTATGAGGCTTTTCACCTGTGTGCTTCACCATGTGCGTGGCCAGTGCTCCCTTTTGGTTAAAAGCTTTTCCACAGAGATTACATTTGAAGGGTCTTTCACCTGTAAAAACAAACCAGAACAGACTATTTTATAAAACAAACAAACAAAGAAAAACATATCTATTTATCTATCTAACTATCCTGATGCATCATGGCAGCAAAGGGTTAACGTTCAACCCCCTGAATACCATAGGACCAGTCCTGTATACATTTTTCAGCCCCACCACGACTCATTCTTTTTTCTGTCCTCGCCATGGATCAAGCTCTTACACAGTTACATATTTATTTTTATACCCTTACCTGCCTTTTCCTGTGGCTGCCCAATCAGGCTCAGCCTTCCCTGTTGTAAAGTTCCTGGTAATATGCCTTTAAAGAAGGTATTTGCAGAGAGCCCGTTCTGAGTATCTCCTGAGCATGGTTATATTGGGTGTATATCTCCCATTTTCACTGGCTGAGTCATTGCTTGTTTCCCTCTTGTTTTATTCATTCAAATTTCGCCCTTCCAAGTTTTTTTCCATTCGGTCTGTGCTGCCCAGGCGCCGTTCGTGTCTGTCATCCTGTCTTCTGCGAACGTGCGGCGAGTGTTCCCATATGTGTTTGGATAGCCAGGTGCCTTGCCGCTACCAAGATGACGCAGGTGTCCCGGGGGGAGGAACCTACGCAGCCCCTGCTTTTAAATTGTTCAGCAAGCAGCGCGGCCCATCGCTACAGGTCCCCGGATCTTTTCCCCAGCCGCTGTTCGGTCCACCTTAGAAGTATGGTTAGTCTTATGCATCCCCCCCTCTTCCTCCAATGGCTACCATTGTTAAATGGAGGAGGAGGCAGGGGTATTCTGCGGCCCTCTATGTGTATGGCGGACAGGTCTTGCTGGTGTGCTGAGGAGTATCTCTCTCTCATATATATACAGCGTGTGTGTGTGTGTATATATATATATATATATATACACACACACACACACACACACACACACACACACACACACACAGGTGAAACTCGAATAATTAGAATATCCTGCAAAAGTTCATTTATTTCACTAATGCAACTTAAAAGGTGAAACTAATATATGAGATAGACGCATTACATGCAAAGCAAGATAGTTCAAGCCGTGATTTGTCATAATTGTGATGATTATGGCTTACAGCTCATGAAAACACCCAAATCCACAGAAAATTAGAATATTGTGAAAAGGTGCAATATTCTAGGCTCAAAGTGTCCCACTCTAATCAGCTAGTTAAGCCATAACACATGCAAAGGGTTCCTGAGCCTTTACCTCAAAAGGTAATTGCAAAAGAAGTTGGATGTTCCCAAAGTGCTGTATTAAAGCACATTAATAGAAAGTTATGTGGAAGGGAAAAGTGTTGAAGAAAAAGGTGCACAAGCAGCAGGGATGACCGCAGCCTGGAGAAGATTGTCAGGAAAAGGCCATTCAAAAGTGTTGGGGACTTTCACAAGGAGTGGACTGAGGCTGGAGTCAGTGCATCAAGAGCCACCACACACAGACAGATCCTGGACATGGGCTTCAAATGTCGTATTCCTCTTGTCAAGCCACTCCTGATTTTTTCTTACCTGGGCTAAAGAAAAACAGACCTGGTCTGTTGCTCAGTGGTCCAAAGTCCTCTTTTCTGATGAGAGCAAATTTTGCATCTCATTTGGAAACCCAGGACCCAGAGTATGGAGGAAGAATGGAGAGGCACACACTGCAAGATGCTTGAAGTCCAGTGTGAAGTTTCCACAGTCTGTGTTGATTTGGGGAGCCATG